GACATGGATGTCAGTATGGAAATTATAAAAAACATAGCAGAAAACATAAGCAAAACACTCTATGATACTGGTTTCAGTAATATTTTTAGGGACAAACTCCAACAGCAAGGGAAACAAAAGCAATAATAAATAAATGAGACTATACAAACTAAAATGTTTTGGCACAGCAAAAGAACCTATCACTAAAATGCATAAGCACTCTACCAAATCAGAGTAAAATATTTGTACATCATACATTTGAAAAGGACTAATATCCAAGATCTACAACAAAAGGATAAAACTCAACACAAAGAAAAAAATGGTCCAGTCAATAAATAGACAGAAGAACTAAATAGATATTTCTCCAAAGAAGACATACAGATTGTCAACAGGTACACACAAAAAAAATGTTCATCATCACTTATTATCAGGGAAATGTAAATTAAAACTATAATGAAATACCACCTCATACCCAGCAACATATGAATGGACCATACCCAAAAGACCAGAAATATCAAGTGTTGTGGAGAAAAAGGAAACTTTGACACTTTTGGTGGGGATATGGAGGTCTCTCAAAATATTCAGTATATATCTACCATACAATCCAGGAGTCCCTTTCCTAGGTATCTAACTAATGGATGAAAAAACATTAATTCAAAGGCATATATGCACTCCTATGCACATTGCAGCTCTAGTTACAATAATTAAGTTATGGAAAAACAGCAGATGAGTATATTAAGATATCATATATATGTAGTTGAAAATAGAATGCTAGGCTTAAAAAAGATGAACTCTTGTCATTTGTGACCACATAAATAAAACTGTAGGGTATTATTCTAAGCAAATATATAAAAATGAATCATAGATGATTTCATTTACATGTGGATTATAAAGAAACAAAACAAAGGAACAGATAAAATAAAACCAAAATAAACCCTAGAAACCTGACTGTAGAAAGTAAAGCATGGAGAGGGTCCAGTGGACTAAGTTAGAAGACTACAACTACTTTGGTGGTGGGTGTGATGTGGTTTTGAACCTATAGTACTCACTCACATACAGTGTTGTATATCAACAGTACCTCAATACAAAATAATACAATTTTAAAAAGAATATACCTTCACATAAAGTCTGAAAAAAAATTGTAATTTGTTGTTCACAGTCTGGAGGTTAGAAGTCTGAAATCAAGGTGTTGTTTCAAACTTGGAAAAGATGCAAAAGCATGAAGTTCAGATGAATAGATGAATATTCTTGAGATTCTGTCAGCAGAGACTCTGCGGGATGGGCCCTTGTCTTCAGTTAACACACATCATCTTTTTTTAGGATTCTTTCAGATTAGGAGACACATAAGTAATTCTCTCCCTGTCCTTCTGCCAAGGTCTGGAGTGGAATGCTCTGCCCCCAGCTCCCTCACCCTGTCCTCCATCTCCACACCACACACAAAGATGATTTTCCAGTTCACAGTCTGGTCATGCCCCTCCACTCATTGCCTGTCTCCCCATGACATCCAGTATAAATGTCCAAGCTCAAGTCCTCTGGGTATCTGACATCCTTTGCTTCTAGTTTTACTCCGTCATTAGAAAAAGATATTATATTCTCATATACATATTCTGCCCATCTTGCTCAGCTATAACTACACAAATATGATATTTTCACCAGTCTAGGTGCCTTTGCACAGATCTGATCTACTCTCCCCACTTTAGCTCACCTACTTTCTTAAACTCAAATTGTCTTTAATGTGTTTACCCATCCAATTCTAGAAATCTATACTAAAGAAATACTTGCACACATGCATAGAGATGTATACAAGGATGTCCATTGCTTTAATTTTTGCATTAGAGAACAAAAAAGGAACAACCCCATCAGCCAGCTGAATAACTTCAGTGTACCTAATTCTGAGGTCACAATGGATCTGATGTGTGATATCAGACTGGTATGGGGGAACCTGGAAAGAATTCCATGGCATGTTATACTGGGGATTCCTAGGGGGCAATGAAAGATAAGTCCCTTCACTGTGGGTGACCTCTCCTATAATCCTGAGAGAGTCTTAAAGGATGGGACTGGAGAAAAGGGCTAGGAAAGGAGTTTAATATTATTTGTGCATGAATGAGAAGTACCCAGAGTCCCCAGATTTTTAAGGGGCACACTGTTTAAAAGGATTCTAGCCACCCACCACACAGAGGCAAAAGAAGCAGACTTAGTGTGAAAGATTTTTAATACAATTAGTGTTCATAGAGAAGAGAAGGGATTTTTTTTTTTTTTTTGTGGGACCCTCGCCGGTGGCCAGGGATCAATCTGGCGCTGCAGAGGCTGCAGGCAGCCTCGCAACCCAGTGCTCAACCGCTGCGCCACCAAGGAAGGCCCGAGAAGAAAGGGATTTTTAATAATAGTTTCTCATTAAAACTCCCAAAGAACTTATCCACTTATAGGCAAATACCCAGCCAAGCAGCATCAGCCTGAAGCAGGGCCACTGATACCTGAAAACTTGCCATAGTATAAAGTGCCTTCTGGCAAGGAATCAGAAAGGGATTAGGCAGGTCCCAGAGAGCAGGGACAGAAGGAGAGACACAAAGTTCAAAATTAAAGTACAAATCAAGATAATGGATATTTGGTCTTTACCAAGGACCAGGAGCAGTGTCCCCATGCCTCTTACCCACAAGTCTCCTCCAAGTACCTCTTCCACGTGTCTCTAAAATGTCTCCACTCCACATGTCTTCTTCTAGTCACTAGGTACAAATCAAAGCAGGAGAAATAAGAGAGGCAGGCCCACCTGCCTTCCATGCTATATAGGCCTACCTGGTCACTCAGCTCTAGCCCTAGCTCCCAGTAGCTCCTCCACATAGGAAGTCTGGTTCATGGCATACTAGAACTTGTAACCCAAGGCAACCGCATCTAAATGGAGTGAGAAAAATTGTGCTTCCCATTCATGGAAGTGTATCTGTAACAATATCATAGATCCCAACTCCTGAACGGGGTGTTCAGATCATAAAACATGCATATTTGTGCTCTTCTCATAACCAAAATTTCACTTTGTCACTTCCATTGGCTAAATTTGAAATTATGTATAATTTTTACAAAGTAATACTGTACTGGAAGGAAATGAGTGCCACTATATTTCTGGATTAATTTGATTAAGAGTCAGAAAATCTGCATTCAAATTCTTAATCTGACTAGATCTCTAACTTGGAGCCAGTAATTTTGTTTACCTGTATGGGCTACTTTTTTCCTCATCTGTGCATCAAGTGCATGGAACAAATAATCTATAGAGTATCTTTGTTACACAATTATATTGATTTATTCCTCTTGAGTCTTGTGCAATATTGATAATTGTAATTGCTTGGTTTTGCATTTTGGGATACCTCAGACTTAGTGGCATAAAAAGAATTGAAAGCCAAGTTTTTTAGCTGAAGCAAAAGCAAAATTTATTTAGAGACAGGACAAAAGTAAGCCCAGACAGAGAGATCTGGACAGGAAAAACTTGGGTGTATTTTTGCCCCATCTTTGGATGTTACTGGTTTTTAAGGGGATCCTGGGTTTCCTTCTGGACTGACTCCCACCTCTCCCTTTCCCTTGGGATGGGAAGGGCATTTGGTTGCTTCAGTGGGAATTGTTTTATAGCTGAGTTTGACTGGTTTTGAGCAACTGCCTCCCCTGGGTGCTTTTTTCCTTTCCGATGCTTTACAGACCTTCTGCCAATTCAAAGGCCTTGGTCTTTATGGCACTATTATGCCTGGTCTAGGGGCACAGTTTGTTTGTTTCATTGGTTGGTTGTTTGGTTTTGGTTTTGGCTTTTTAAAGTTTCATAAGCCCAGAACTTTTGTAAGCCTCTGATGTCTTGGGTGGCCAGTCTTTGATCAATTCCAGGCACTGTATCTCTTCCCAACTGCCTAATAGCTAAACTACTATTGATTATCAGATGATATGCAAAGTTTATATATAATCATTTTAAGCCTCATAATAAATATGTGAAATAAATACTACTATCTCCATTTTATGGAAGATAATGAGACCCCCAAATTAAATATCTTGCCAAAAGTCACAACCAGAAAGTTGTGAAGTTCAAATCTAATTTCAGACAGTCTCAACCCCAGAATCCATGATCTAAACCTTTCAGTTAAATTACAGTTAAAAATCAACCTTTCGGGCCTCCCCGGTGGCGCACCGGTTGAGCACTGGGTTGCGAAGGTGCCCGCGCGCGGCCTCTGCAGCGCTGGTTCGATCCCCGGCTGCTCCCCGGCCACCAGAGGAGGGTCCCACATGGCGCACAGACCTCTCCTGCCGCCCGCTGCTCCCCTCAGCAGTGTACTTGGTCAGTCTGCCTGCTCTGCTCCCCGCTCTGGCTCTGGTGAATTCTCTCACCCTCCCATGCTTCTAACTGTACCCAGTGCTTGTATAAATAAATAAAGATAAATCTTTAAATAAATAAATAAATAAATAAATAAATAAATAAATAAATAAAAGTCAACCTTTCTATTACTGCATGATGTTAAGTATTCATACAATAATTTAGTATTAAAGAAAGAAAGCTAGGCTTCCTGGTGCCGCAAGGGGTTAAGACATAACTTATGACGCTATCTGCAGCCACCACAGCACCGGTTTGATCCCTGGCCAGGGAACTACCCACATGGCACAACAGACCTCTCCTGACTCATCCACTGCTCCCCTCAGCAGTGTACTTCAGTTGATCTGCCTGTTCTGTTCCCCATTCTGTCTCTGGTGAATCTTCTCACGCCCCACACCTCTGGCCTATACCCCAGTTCTTGTATTCATAAATAAATCTAAAAAAAAGTACATGCAAACTTGGGAAAATTAACTGTAAGAGTTCAAATGCACAGATAAGCAGAAGTCTTACTTAAAAGTTTTTTAAGCATTTTTTATAATTAATAATTTCCATATGCCATAATGTGACTATATCTTTATACTCCTGTTTAACAACTGCGAGAAAAAAATCATTACTACTGCATTCTTGTGCATTTTTTTCTCTGACACATATGGCACTGACACTTTCAATTTTAATTTCACAGATGAAAGAACTCGGTGTCATCTTCTACAACTGCAGCTGCCTAGTCTTAGATTTACAAAGGATATTCGCTTTGTATAGTTCATTAAAATTCAAGAGCAGAGTGCCTCAGACCTGGTCTAAGAGACTCTATGGAGTCTATGATAATGAAAAGAAATTGCAACTTCAGTTGAATGAAACCAAATCTCAAGCATTTGTGTCGGTGAGTAGTTTCCCTCTTCCTCCTCTCTTATTTTACCAAAAACCCTTAATTAAGTTGGAATGTTCCAGTCTGATCTTGTGTTGGGTAAACATTTACTGGATTTGTTCTGTTCCAACCTTTGAAAAATTAAAATGCTTTCACTTTTCAACCTAAGCATATGCTGTCCTTAATTACAATAACAATAATAAATTTTAATTATTCCTGCTTACAATGGTGATATCTGATTAGATCTCCACAATTATCCTGCAGGGGAGTACTAGGGGTATGACTCTATTACAAATGAAGGCTATCCCAGAGATATCCCTCCCTGAGACCCTCAGTGGCAGGTGCCCCTCAGGACACTAGCACCTAGGTGTTCTGATACCAGAGCCTATTTTCAGTGCCCTGCAACAAAGATTTCATACTCATTCTAAGCTTTTGAACACTTTGATGAGACATATCTGGGGGAACTCCAGTACATAAAACAGACAAAATCAGAGTTGCTGTGCTTGACTTGAGACTGGAGGGCAGGAGGCACACTCAAGAGGGCAAAGCTACTTTATAACCCCCAGGCCATGATTATGCTGTAAATCACCACTTCACCCAACCTGATAACCTCAGGTCCACTTTCCCTATATTACCTACCCACCCCTACCCACTACGTGACCTGTCCATACCTTTCCCAGCCACCTCTTCTACCACTCTTACCCTCACCCTCACCCACACACCCTACCTTCTCCACCTCCTCCTCCCTCCACCCTTGGCTCACACAGCACAGCTATCCCTGCAGTGCTATGTAAATAAGTGATGTCAATACCTGGACCCACAGGATCTGGTTCTCAAACTTTAAAGTGTTTAAGAATAAATTTGAAGCCTCTTTAAAAATGCGAGTTTGCAGTCCTCCCATTCTCACCTACCATCTGATCTGCTGAACAGGGATGAGACCTTAGAATTTTCAAGACTCAAGTTCCTGAGTTGATATTGATGCTCAGAGAAACTTCTCTAAATGATGCTTCCAAATTGACATGGTTGTTTCTCCATTAATTGATATTAGTGCTTTTATAGAAACAACTTTTCTGTCACTGTCCTTTTTGTCTACTAACTGAAAGCACAATTTGAAAATTTAGAAAAATAGCAATAGAGAGAAAAGAGGCAAGTGAGATAAACACAATTTCACAAAAAATATGAGAAGCAGAAAATAGGCTATGAGATATTGTCATGAAATAGAGTTAAAACCCTTTTTCTTGTTGGTATGTGTGGAGAAGCAATAGCATATTATATGGACATGTTACTATATTAACATTTTTATAATAAATTTCATTTCCTCTCAAGACAACCTTGCCCATTAGACAAGTATTATTCTCAATTTCAATATGAATATAAGTGTCAAATTTGCCAAAAAAGCAAAAACCCCTAATCCAAAAGAAAACAGGGTGATATAACACCCAAAAGGAGCTTGCTCAAGCAAGCCTGGTAACACAGACAGGAAGGAGCAAGTAATAGATGAATTATGAATGAGCAACTTTCATGTAATTGATGCACACTGAATTTATGTTTTGGATCTTGACGATAAGTGAACTTCATTGTTGCAGAAATTTAAATTCTGACTCTTAGAAAGGAGTGGGTGAGTATTATGGAGTCTTCCTTCATAGATCCCTGAGTTAACATCTACCACAGAGGGCACAGACCCTTAATTAAATCTACTAAAACACTTTCTTGTATTCTGGAGCAAATTATAGAATCAAAAGATTTTAATTGAATGTACTTTTTTGCCGAGGTATATAAAATCTTAAAGGCATAAAAGAATGTAAGAAACCCCCTTTATAGGTACTGGTATCATTTAATCAAAGAGTCTTGATTTTACCTTTATTATAGCACTTATTGCATTTTTATAACTATTTGGTTATTGATCATCTTTCTTATTATGTTGTAAGGCTCTGAAGATCATCATTTGTATGACTACCACCTCAGTCAGGGCTTCATGAAAATAGCAATAACTGTTATTAATTGTAATATTAATACAAAAGTTCCAGGATGACCCATTCAGTGTTCAGCCACCAGTGCCCCAGAGCAGATACAAGCCCCAGTCCAGGCCCTGCAGGGCCCAACTCTTCTCAGCAGGTCCCCAGGCACACCTAGGAAGTGCTTCCCACTTAGTGCTCAGCCAGCAGTGCCTCAGAACAGATCTGCACCCTAAGCTTGGTCACACAGGGCCTTGCTCTATATCAGGGATCCTCAACCAACCTTCAGCCTCCTGGCCACTCGAAGCAGGCCCTGAGCCATTTCTTTTGGGAGGGGTTAGGTCCCAGGGACTCAGTTTCTCAGCCTAGTACCTCTCCTAGCCCTCACAGCCACCAGAACAAGGACCAGACACATTTTGGGAGAGGTTCTAGCACCACCCCAGGTCCTATAAGACTCCAGTACCTGTCCCAACTATCAAGTAAATGCCCAGAACAGTGGAACAGAAGGACTCATACACAACAAATCCTTAATTACAGAAAATTAAACAAAAAGCAAACAATGGCGAGAAAGAAAAACATACATAGCTAAGCAAGCCCTCAGAGAAAAAAATACACCAGAGAGAGAACAAATCCCCAGAACCAAACTACAAAGATATGGAAGCAGTTCTTTACCTATCAGACATAGAATTCAAGATGGCCATGACTAAGAAAACTAAAGAATGGGAACAAAACAAAACTCACAAAAGGAAATGAATACTATGTGAAACACAATAAACAGAAGATCAAAATTGAAACTTTACAAAATAACAGAAATGCATGAGGAAGCAAAACATTCATGAGAAAGCCATATAAGTAGATTAGAACAAATGGAAAAAGGGATCAGTGATCTTGAAGATGAAAAAGAGATATGAAGAAACACAGGGGAAAAAAGAGAGAAAAGGGAAAAAGTGTGAAGGAACATGTCAAGAATTATCTGACACCATGAGGAAAGGAAATAAAAGAATCATAGGAATTCCAGAAGGAGAAGAGAGAAGGGAACTGGGACCAAGTTAGGAAAATAATGGAGGAAAACTGCCCAAACTTCATGAAGAAAATCAACCTGGAAATACAAGAACAAAAAGAACACCCAACTAGCTTGACAAAGGGAAAACTGCAGCAAGACACATAATAATAAAACTCCCAAGAGTCCAAGACAAAGAAAAATTAATGAAGATGACGAGGTGAAAGAAACAGATAATCTATAAAGGAATGCCAATTTGGCTGACATCAGATCTCTCTTAAGAAAGACTACAGGCAAGAAGAGAATGGAATTACATACTTAAAATACTCCAAGAAAAAAAAAAAAATTCCAAGCCAAGAGTACACTATTCTGCAAGGATTTCCTTCCTGTGTGAGAAAGAGATAAGGACCTTCTCAAAGAAAATTGTGGGGAGTTTACATCCATAACCCCACCTTCCACCCCAATAAATATTAAACGAAGATTTAGAGTGTGAACTAAGGAGAAGAAAAATTACAAAGAACTGAATAAGGAGTTAATACAGAACAACAAAACTAGAAGCAAAATGACAGTGATGAACATTTACATGTCAATAATCACTCTAAGCATAAATGGAATGAACTCATCAACATAAAGACACAGAGTATATAGTTTCATTAGGAAACAGAATCCAACCTTCTCCTGCTCCCAAGTTCCAAGAAACACAACTAATTACCAAGGATAAACAGAGACTGAAAATAAGGGATGGGAAATAATTCTGCAAGCAAATGGCATTGCCAAAGGAAGGCAGGAATAGCCATATTTACATCAGACAAAATAGACTCCCAGCTTAAAAAAAGAAACATGAGGGGCCTCCCCGATGGCGGAGCGGTTGAGCGCTGGGTTGCGAAGCTGCCTGCAGCCCCTGCAGCACCAGTTGGATCCTGGCCGCCCGGCGAGGGTCCCACATGGCATGACAGACCTCTCCTGCCTCCCGCTGCTCCCCTCAGCAGTGTATTTTGTTGATCTGCCTGTTCTGCTCCCTGCTCTGGCTCTGGTGAATTCACTCACCCTCCTGTGCTTCTGACTGTACCCAGTGCTTGTATAAATAAATAAATAAATCTTTAAAAAAAAAAAACAAAAAAAAAAACATGAGACAGTGATGAACACTATATAATGATCAAGGGAACAATACAACAGGAGTACATAACGCTCATTAATATATATTCATCAAATGAAGGAGCACCAAAATACATAGAAAATTACTATCAAATCTGAAAACAGACACCAGAAAAAAATATATATGCAGTTGGAGACTTCAACACCCCACTATCACCAATGGAGAAATAAACCAGACAAAAAATAAATAAAGACATAACCATCCTAAACAAACAACCAGACCACATGGGCCTAATAGATGTATACAGGACACTACACCCCCCAAAAAAGCTGAATACACATTTTTCCCAAGTGCACATGGGTCATTCTCAAGGCTTGACCACATAGCAGATCACAAGACAAACAACGAATTCATGAAGATAGAAATCATACCAAGTATCTTCTATGACCATAAAGGTACTGAGCTACAAATAAACTACAAAAAAGAAAGCAAGGAAATATGTTAGCATGTGAGAGCTGAGTAATATACTACTGAACAACCACTGGGTTAATGAGAAAATCAAAAAAGAAATAAAAAATTACCTTATAAAGCATATGATAATGGGGACACACACTCTCAGAATGTATGGGGCACAGCAAAAATAGTTCTAAGAGGAAAGTATATAGCAATACACACCCACACTGGGAAACTAGAAAGAGTCAAAACAAACTATCTTGTCTCTCATCTCAAGGAACTAGGAAAAAAAAGAACAAAAGACTCCAAATATTAGTAGAAAGAAATAATAAAAATTAGAACACAAATAAGTGAAATAGAAACAGAAAGACATTCCAAAAGATAAATGAAACCAAAAGCTAGTTCTTTGGAAAAAATAAACAAAATAGATGAAACATTAGCTAGCCTCACTAACAAAAAGAGGGAGAAAACTAAAATAAATAGGATCAAAATGAAAGAGAATTTACAACCA